CCAGCAACGGACCAACAGTGAACCAGCACCGGACCAGCACAACACCAGCACCCCCCAAGCCAGCACCATCCAGACAAGCAACAGACCAACAACGAGCAGCACCGGACCAGCACCGTCCGGACCAGCAACATACCAACAGTGAACCAGCGCCGGACCAAAAATGAACCAGCAACGGACCAGAAACGGACCAACACTGAACCAGCCCCGCAGCAGCACCGTCAGCCAATTTAAAGAGAGTTCAAAAAAACAAAGATGCAACGAAATGTCACAAAATCTAGATAGTAAATAGTAAATACTAAGTACTTTTCCAAAAGTGCATATTTCTCTTGGTTAGGTTCGAGTCTAACACTTCTGTCCTCCCCTCCTAGCTTCGTTACAAGTGTTAATTTCTTTCCTTCAACCCCCTCCCATCCCATTCCTTCCTCCTCCTGTCCTTTTCCCCTCCCTCAATTCCTCCCTTTCTCCCTCCCTCTCCTTCTCTCCTGTCCAACACTGAACCAGCACCGCAGCAGCACCGTCAGCCAATTTAAAGAGAGTTCAAAAAAACAAAGATGCAACAAAATGTCACAAAATCTAGATAGTTAATAGTAAATACGAAATACTCTTCCAAAGTGAATATTTCTCTTCGTTAGGTTCGACTCTAACACTTCTGCCCTCCCCTCCTAGTTTCGTTACAAGTGTTAATTTCTTTCCTTCAACCCCCTCCCATCCCATTCCTTCCTCCTTCTGTCCTTTTCCCCTCCCTCAATTCCTCCCTTTCTCCCTCCCTCTCCTTCTCTCCTGTCCCCCCTTCCTCCTGCCTCCTCCTATCCCCCCTCCTCCGCCACTTCCTACCCATTCCGCTTCCTTTCGTCCTCCCTTTCTGCCTGGCCACCTTATGTCCCTCTCCATTCCCTCCTCCCTCCCATTCACTCCACTTCCATCCCGTTCCTTCCTCCTGTTCTCCTTTTGCCCTTCCTTCCTTGCTCCTCCTCCCCTTTCTCCCTTCCCCCTTTCTCTTGCCACCCTCCTATCCTCCCTCCTCTGCCACTTCTTACCCATCGGTTCTGCTTCCTTTTTT